CCATTTTTAAACTACAAAATGTGGTGGATTTTCTCACCTACACCACTCCAACCACTGACCTCTAACCAACTGCTGGAGCACCTACTTAGGTCCTGCTGTGACCCTTCTCCACTGACCCCTGATGGAAACAACTGCCCCTGTCCTCAGCAGTCCTACAGGGCTCTCAAAATGTGCACACTGTTTCCCTTCTGAAGAAAGCAAAACCTAATTCTCTACAAAGAGCATGATCTCTTCAGGAGAAAAAATTAGTAAATCCAAGTTGTGAGAAGTAAAGAAGCAAGCATCTGCAAGGCACAGCAGGGCTAAAGCACATCTGGAGAAAGTATCACTAGGAAAGAGGAAAACAGAATAAGAAAATGCTGCTACATCCAAAGTCAGGGGCTTAGAAGTGAAAAACCCACCCCTCCCCTCCTCAGGGTAAGAATGGAAAGGCTGACATTCGATTAATCCAGAAAAGGAAAATCAATCTTCCTTGCAGATAGCTATGCTGTGTGAGTGGACAGCATTTCCAGGTTTACTGGCAGGCAAGCTAAAGCAGAGCCTTCAGGAATTTGTCCTGTGTCTCATCTTTCATCTGGAAATAAAGCTGGCATGATTTGCTGAATAATGCTCTTGGAGATCAAGGAAATGGCTTTAGGCTGTGACATGCGGACAGTGGCTAGGAAAAAATTATTGGCAGGGACAGTAATCCCAGACATAATGCTTGGAAGTCCCTGAAGTTCTGTCAAAATCTTTACAGTTTGCAATTGATTCTCCCTGGCTGGAATGAAAACCACTTAAGGCTCAGCTACAAAGTGACCTCTCTGAGGGCTTTAAAGCAAGAAATGTAAAGGAAAAGAACATAAGGGACTTACCCAATGGTCGGGCTGATGTTGTGGTCAAAGTGATCCTGGACGAATCGACACACAATGCTCGATTTCCCAACACCAGTGTCCTGGAAAAGAATGAGGACACAGCCATGAAGATCAAGGATGCCAATTTTGACCTAGTATAAACACAGAACCAGAGGACTGGAGGGGTTATTTCTGCGTGATGGGAGTCAGGGAGGCAGAGGAGAATACCTCTTTCTATCTCTTACCAGTGCTTTCTACAATGTAAGTGTAGCCTTCATCGAAAGAAAAGTATGGTAGAAATAAGCTTTAGAGACATGTCCCACATATATATCATACTTAACCTAGCATAGGCATGCTCACAATATACATATTTCCAGAAATTTGGAAAGTTCTGGAGGGGTTTAGAGGAGAAGTTTGGTGATAAACTGCATTGCTTTAATACACCTAGAAGTGACTTTACTCCAAACCTTAGCACTCAAAAATGTATTATCTATGTTTCTACGTATCACCTTGTAAGATCTATGAATTCTAACTTCTGCATTTCTAACATTTTCTCTTTAGAATCTGACGGCTGCATAACAACCTCCATTTTTGCCTAATTATACAACGGTCTCATTTATGCTCTTTCTCTGTTAAATAATTTTTTAAAGCTGATTAGAATAGAGGTCCAGTTATATATTGGAAATGAAATAAATATGTGTTTCTACCCTCTCCCTTACTAAACCATTGTCAAATAGCTTAAGAAATAATAGACACAAATTCACAAGGTCAGAGAGATGGGAGACAACACCTGACAGATGATGTCAGTAGAAAGTAGTTGGCTGAGTGGACACTGAGAAAGAAGGTACTGGAGCCTTAAGGGCTGCCTTAAGAGAACCAAGGAGAAGCAAGTCAACCTACGCCGTGGCGCCATGAACACATCATGAAGTGGAAGACATGGCTGAGATCACCATCAGCTGAAAAGCTGGACAAAAACATACACTTCGATGCTCAGACCATACAACCAGAGGACAGACCCTCCCGCCTTCCAGGGAGAGATGGAGGTTGACTCTCCTGAAAAACTATATCATTCAGGGGTTGGGCACCCAGTGGTACTCCCTGCCCTGCATGAGCCCAGACAGAAAAGGTGAGGATTCCTCTCTGGGTAAGAGGGAAAAACCTGCACGCGGTGCTGTTTGGAATCCCCCAGCTAAGGGCTCCATGTGCATCAGTCAACAAGCCCCAGCACAAAGACAGTTTTCAGGACACATTTTAATCTTCTGAAAATAAACACTGAGTTAAGAAATACCAGATTTTATACCTTCATAAAAAGAGCAGGATGCTATTTTAGAAGATCATTCAGAAAATAAGACTGACCTTTTGGAAATTAAAAATAAGATGGTAGAAATGGAAATTTCAAAGGAAGAGTTACAAAGTAAAGACAGGAGACTGCCCACAAAGTAGAACAAAGTAGCACAAAGCATCTGCCCTGAGCTGCCAGCTGCTGCTCGTCTGAGAGAGCCAGCGAGGCATGCTGAGATCTGTAAGTGAACAGGAACAGGAAAACAAGCCCTATTTAGCCCAAGAAGGAAGAAAAATAGCTTTCTTACATTAAGGCATTTTAAAAACCTAAGGATCTGGGAGAAAACGTTGAAATTCAGAGAAAAGTGTTTTTCTTTAGACACTGAAATATGAAATAAGATTTGATATACCAACTACTAATCTGAGTAATTTTTACTATGTGTTTAGGGGACAATTCCAGCAAATCAGGGGCTGGAGGGGCCCCGGCTTGTGATGCTCATCAGAAGTCATTCTCCAGGTCTCCTCTCCCAGTGAGGGTGGCCACCACTGTTCTGAGCCATAACAGAACAAAAGCACCAAGAGCCGCTTATCCAGTGTGCAAACTGATGTGATAACGGCAGAATTAAATCATTAAATCGTCAGCTGAAAAGATTCCCAATCATTGCCACTGCTACTTCTGCATGGTGCCTGCAGTGTGGATTGAGGCTAATGTTCCCCATGGCTCCCAGACTACAGCTCATTTCTTTTCATCTCCGTTGCTTTTAAAACTCCTCGTAGGTGAGCACATCCTCGCCATCCTTTAGTACACGTAAGCCCAGATAAACTGAAAGCTGAACTGTGTAGCCCTGCCCTTGAGGCCGAGGGAACCGCACACCTGCATCAGGTGGACTGCTCTCTGCGAACTGCCAGGTGGGGGCCACACCAAGTTTTGTTTTTATGGCACAAATTCATGGGGTGCAACACCCCCTCTCCTGTAAATAATAGATTCAAATTTATCATCCCATAGGAAATGCTAAATGATTCACCTCCACCCTCTCTGCACCCACTGAAGCCATTCCCATCATGGGAAGACAGCACGAGCGCCTGTCCTGTCCCTCTCTGGGGGGCGCAGTTGACGAATGATCTTTCTCAGGGCTCTCCTCTCATCCATTCTTCCCTGGTCCAGCAAGCGATCATCAATCTGCTCGAAACAACCGGTTCCAAACCTCAGAAACAGAGAGCCCCATGGATCCCGCAAGGCTGACCCTCCAAATGTTTTGGAAGATAAACAATTCAAAAGCCGCCTTGAAATCATCCATCGCTACTTATCGACTCCTGCAGATCACGCCAGCTCGCACCCGGCTGTCTGAGTGGTGAAAGCAACAGGCCGGCCCACGCGGAGACTTAACAGTTAGTTCTTTAGTCAAATACACTCAGGGTTTCTTTCCTTTTTACAATTTCATTCTCAACACGTCTCTCTCTGACGTATTTGATTGGAAAGAAATAACAGAACAAAAAGACAGGAAACAACAGTTCAGTTTGCCTTAGAAAAGAAAATACTCTTACAAAGGACTGCCTCAAATGATTGGTGGCCACGGCCTTGTGACAGCTCAGAGCGACCTGGGGCCTCCTGCTCGCAGACGGCTGCAGTAGCCCGCCGACCACGAGGGGAAGGGCCTGCCCAAGGACTGCTGGGGAGAGCTGCAGCCAGGCGCCAGCACGAGGGAGGTTTTCATGAATCACTCGGCTCTGTGATTTCCTTTTCCTGCAGGAACCTCATTCGGACGGTGACACACACCCACAAGAGGAAAACACCAGTGAGTCATAACTATTGCACAGGAAAACTTAAAGGTTTAAAACAGGAAGAGAGAAGAAAGCATCTGGATGAATAAAGGAGCCTGTGAAGCAAGAGAAAGGATGGGTGAGGGGGCTGGGGGCTGCCTCGCCATTCTGCACTTCAGTGTGGTGGATTCACACCGGTGGAAGGAAGTTCCTCTGTGCATGTACTGTTGCATTTCACACGATTCTGAGAAGACCATAGTCCATCTTGTCCACTCTCCTAGTTTTGCAAAAGAGGAAGCTGTATGACTTCCTCAAGGCCACACAGCTGCTGGGCTGGGAGAATCAGAACCAAATTTTCTGAGTCCCAGGGAAATCCTCCTCAGGCTCTTACCATGCTAAATTGACCTCTCTGCCCAATGTAAACTTCCTGGAAGAAGAGCAAAGCCTGTCTCCTAGAACTCACAGGGTTGGCTTGATTACTGCTTTCCGCCCCACTGTCCACAGCAGGATCATGTGTCCTCAAGTTACACTTGCTCAACTTTCACTGGTGATGAAAGAGGGGGATAGTACCAATGACCAGGGAGACATTAGAATAAAACTGGTTCTGATTCCACAAAGCAAGAATGAAGTTGGGTAAAATCCTCCCTGGGGACTGAAGAGTGTTTCCCTGTATCTCATTCCTGGGGCTGATCCCAGACATAGGCTGAGGCCCAGACTTCAGCTCTACCTAGTTACTGTGAAGTGGACCCCTCCTGATATTCTTCCCATGCAGGTTCTTATTTGGAGCTAATGATACAGTTCTCTGAAAACAGTCATTCCTTGGACATGACAATCACTGTCAAATTTATTAATAGCATGTAAATCTGTAATTATGAAATCACGAACCACAGAGTTTCAGCTGCTGTCATGTAAACCTCGAAGCATCACTTGACTCACTCCTGGACTATTGCAACGGGCCGCAAGCAGGGGATTCTTACCTCTCAAGACAAAGAGCGGTAAATCCTAGGCAAACATATCACTACCCCTAATCCTGCTCACAGGTGGTAAGGATTTTTAGGAAACTAATAGGAGTAGAGACTGTTGATCACTTTACAAATCAATATGCCTTTCATGAAAAGGAAATTACAAACTATATAACAAGACTCAGGAATCCCATTCCTAAGAATACAGTTAAAAGGAGAAAATGAGCAAAAAAAAAGATCACTGAACTAGTATTTGAAAAAATTATAAGTGGCCTAAAAAATACAAGTTAAACAAAGTATGGCATAGACAGTAACTTCTTAAGTTCTAATTTTATGACTACCAAAATGTCAAAGAGGCAGAATATGATTTGCCCATACTGCAGACAAAGGAAATGATCATTCCAGCATCTTCCATGTTCTAGGAATCAGGGAGCACCCATACGGCCAGGATTTTTTAATTTACTTCTTTGTTTCCTTAGGTCATTCATGTATTTAAGTGTTTAAACTTTGGGCCTTACATACTAAAGAGTCTTAAGTGTGTTTCCCACTGATAAGGAGTTTAGTTAGTGATTTGGGAGGACTGCAGGGCCAGCGGGATCTTGTGGGTGGAGAGAAATAGGCAGTGCAGTGGGATGGCCAATGGTTTGCTCTCCTGACCCCAAGGGTGAGGGAAGGCCAGAGCACGGGGGAGTCTGACGCAGTGGAGTAAGGGTCTGGTCCAAGACACGGGACACATGCACCCCTGCCCTGCACACAACAGCCTTGTGTGGAGCCAAAATGCAGGCAGACGCTGAGAGCAGTGGCCAGTAATTCGGGGCAGCATGCCTGATTCTCAGTCCACTTTGGGGAGGATGGGGGAGAAATGTCTGGAGGAAGTGTGTGCTTATGCTAGAGAGGTGAGGTCAGGAAGGAAGAGTTTCCAGTCCCTCTGGCTGGAGGGTGCTGGCCTGAGCTTCCTCACCATGGCCAGGTCCCAGCCATCCGGGCCAGGGCCTCTTGGTGGCACCACGTGCCCTCCCACCACCCTGCATCCACCCCGAATAGAAAATAGAACAGGAGCCACACAAGGGGGTCCACCCGTACCAAGCATAACCCAA